TGAAGCTGGTATTTTGAATAGTAATAAGAAAAAATTCTTTCGTTAACACATCCCCAGCAGGGGGCGTAGGAAGCGGAGGCTGCAGCTTTGTGCCAGGCACTGAGGATGTGCCCCTGGAAGTAGAGGGTGACGACTTCAAGTTAATATTTGGTTTTGAGGCCATTTCAAAATTTATCTGCCTGCAGTTAATAAAACTCTATTGCCTAAATATGCAGCTTTAAAAAAGGAGGCTTTTATTTTGAAGTTTAAGACTTGGCAAAACTTTCAGTGAGGAAACATTGTAACAAGACCATTCAGCAGATTCATCACCTCATCTTATTAAACATAAGCAACTCCACTACATCACTGAAGAGGAAAGTTGAAATAAAATTGTAAGCACAGTCACAGTCATGTGATTTTCCACTTAGTAACCAACTTGTTGGTCCCAATAGTAGTCACTATATGAGGACTACTTGTACAGATTAAAAAAAAAAAACTACTCCTGGGTTTTGTACAATGGAAGAAAAAAATCTAAGGCACCCATGTATTAAATAGTCTTCATATGTAACATAAAATTACATGTTACTTAGTCTTCAGGATGTTGACACCAAGGTCAATCATACAGATAGAACTTGTTCATTTGTCATATGTACCTGGGAAGTTAATGGTTGCCCATTCCGTAGCCACATTAATGTAGGCCTTGGTTTGCCAGCTGCAGCACAGCTCCAGTGGATATTTGATCCAATATCAGCTTCTTTGTCTGTGATGACTTTTAGCCATTCTGGCTGAGCTAAAAAAAAAAGAGTAAAAAAAGGAGTGGATTTCATGCATTTCAAGCAGTGCAAGATGATGATGATGATGATCTAGTGAAGATTTTCTACAACTCCCTTGTTGTACCTTTCATTTCTAAAAACCCAAATGACAGCACCTGTGCATAAGCATGTGCCTCTCTACTAAGAAAGGATAGTTTCATCTCCTTGATTCACTTACCAAGCAAACAGCTTAGGTATTATCACAACAATAAAATGTTAGTTTTACTAATGCAATAAAATGGGGGGGGGGATCTTCACCAATGTGAAAATCAGATGGATTGTTTGCTCAATTCATTTCTGGGATTGAGAATACAAAACTCAGATTATGTTCACAGGCATACTGTCATTGCATTAAGTAAAGTCAATCTGAAACAAGCCAGGAAATGTTTTTTTCCCTATTTAATGATGCAGTTTTTGTTAAAGGTAAACAAATATAAATGTTTTAAATAAATATGGCAGCTCTAATAAATTCAAAAAATATAACAAATTAAAAGCTGTGACTTGTAAATGAATCTGCTCGGATTCTTTACCTTGGATAATGAGGCGGCCCTTGAAAGTGTCTTTTCCTTGGCCATTCTCAGCTTCACACTCATAAGTGCCTTCATCGTCAAAGCCAGCCTCTTGAAACTGCAGGACAGGTTCAGTTGAGATCCATCTGGAGGACTGGCTACCATCTACCTTTCGCCATTTTATTTGAGGGACAGGGCTAGATTGTGAAAGAAACATCTGTCAAAGGGTAGTCAAGCAGGGTTCCTTCCGCTCAAGCATCAGGGGCAATGCAACATGTGGCACATGGGTACTTTCCCCTTTCCTTGTTATGTGTAGCATTTTGTACATTACTTTTATATAGGGCTATCCTGTGTGTGTCGTAGAGATGCGGTTACTGTACAGAGGGAAATCACAGAATGCTAGAAAAATAGAAAGCTGGTTTAAGGAATTGCTAACAGTACTACCCTGTTTCCCTGAAAATAAGAGCTCCCATATAAGAAGCCCAATCGGGAGTTTGAGCGCATGTGCTTAAAATAAGCCCTCCTCTGAAAATAAGCCCTCCCTGAAACAACACAGCAGCAGCCATGAGGTGACCACACTTGCTGCCTCCTGCACCTCAAAAATAATAAGACCTCCCCAAAAATAAGCCAAGCGCTTATTTCGGGGGTCAAAAGAAAATAAGACCCTGTCTTATTTTCGAGGAAACATGATATGTAAGTGTCCATGCGCTTTCTGAAGCATATTCCAAACCACTGCATGACCAACTTTTAACCTTCTCAATGTTCATTCTTTCTCTTACTAATATATAAAAATATACAGCAGACTGGCAGGCAAATTGTCACATCTTCTGTTATCCCCCCTCTTGTTTGTGTGGATTTTGTACTTGCTTCAAAACATCCTTATTATATCACCCAGTGCAGGGCCAAATGAGTATCATTAACAGACTAAAACAAACCTTTGTGAGCTCTAATTCAATCCAGTTGACATTTATTTATTGTTTTAGTCAAATGATAAAAATAGAGAGCAAATAGTAAAACCCTAGTTCATTAAGTAGGCAAACAGAGCACAAAACTCTGCATTAACTCTACTCATACTTCCCTTCCATAAAACTATACTTTCTTTTAAATATGCACCATGATATGTAACCAGTGACAATGAGGGTTGGCAATTTTTATGTTGTCAACAACATGGAATTAAATGCACTGATACAGCTACTCACTTCCCAAAGGCAAAACACTCCAAAGCCACCATTTGTCCAGTCAGAGCGTAGGTATCAGAAGGAAACTTGGCTTTAATGATTGGGGCATGAGGTCTGGTATCTGAGGAGAGAAAGAGAGGTGACTGCAAAGATGTTAGTCATGAAAAAGAGGTCACTATAAAGCAGAGATTAATTCAAAGTTTTACAATTATTTTTTTCTTAGAAACAATTTTATTTTTTTCCAATTACAAAAAAAAAAACATTCCATCTTTCCTTATGCAGTGTGTCGTCTAGGTGCAAACATTTCTGTGCACATTTTCCTCATTTGCCACATCTTTCACATTCATATTAACATTATTACCTTAAGCTTAATATTATAATATATTAAACATTTAACATTACAAAACTCTCCATTTTTCTTCTTAATATCTTCTAGTGATGATACCATAACATTAAACATCATTATTCTCATCATACACATACTAACACTTTTCATTTTATTTATATCTCTATCTTAATATTTTTTCTACTTATTTATTAGCCTTCTTCATTTCCAAACTCCTTTTTTATTGTCCAACCATTGGTAAAATACTTCCCAAATCATATAATATTCAGTTTGCTCTTTCTCTTTAATTGCTAATTCATCTTCAACTTCAAACTCAAAAAAGTACAATAACTGCAAAACTTTGAATGACTGTTACAGCAGACTCAATATGTTACTGGAGCTACCATATGGTCCAAGACCCCCTCTTCTTGTAAATTTTTCAACCAAAAAGTCTTGATTCAGCTGTAATATCAAGTTGCTCACAATATAGCAATCTACTTTCAGCTGAACCAACCCTGGCATTCTAGTTCAACATTATCTACACTGTGTAAGCACAAACTCTCTAAAATTTCTAAAGCAAGCTTTGCCAGCCTTATTGAAAGGTACCAAGGATTGAATTAAGCTTTTTGGTGTGCCCAACAAGTAAGCTGCAGTCCTTTCCTAATCTCAGCTCTTCTTCAATCCAAAGGTAGTAAAAAGATAATAAGACAAATGCGGGTAATGGGAATTTTGTAAAAATTAAGCTAATTGATGTTTAGAGACATAAACTAAAGAAGTCAAGAACCTAAAGTAAGCTGACAGACATTTAGCTTCATGTTTCTGTAAAAATATGGCTTTTACTTGATTATTTTAGAGTAGATTATATCTTAACATGTCTTACAAGAAAAATGCTTGTCCCCCACCCAAACTCAGTGTGAATGGTGCAGAGACAAAAACAAAAACCGACGCCCCCTTAGCAAACATTAATCAAGCACATTAAACTGGTGTAGGTACATGGCTAGCAAATTATATTTGATTAAGTGGGACATACTTTGTACAATAATAATAACTTTAGAGATACACACAGTTAGAGAAAAACCGCCTTATAAACCCCTGAAGAGTATTTGCTTAGTGGATATCCATTTTAGACAGAGAGACAGACAGATACAGTAAGAGCCTTTAAATGCTGACCTTCTCTCACAAGAATGAGTTGAGAAGACGTGCTAAAAACATTCCTTTTAACAGAGCCAATATGGCCGGTAGCGAAACAGGAGTAGCTGCCATGATCAGAAGACTCAGTCTTAGCAATGTAAAGGTTTCCGGTTGTCTGAGAGACAAAGTGCCTGCCATCTGCTGGAATGAAGTTTGGGAATTCATTCACAAACCAGCGATATTCAAGTCCTGTATATGCATAAATAGAGAGAAAAAGAAACAGAGGGGAAGGGGGAAATGCTTGTTTATATCATATGATAGTTACAGTAGAAGCTTGACCCCAGCCAATTATTTTCTAGACAGTCCTACTACTAAATCAAATTGCTATGAATTTATTCAGCATCCGTCTGCCTATCCATCTATCTGTCTGCCTCTTTATCTGTCTCTCTATCTATCTCAATGCCTGGTATATATCAGTGATATATATTTGTGTCTTATGAAGAATGAAATGAGCATATTTGTCCTTTTAGAGAGGATGTATAATTGTTCCACAACATTGTTTAAAAAGAGCTGAATCCAATATATTAAATTAGAAACTCCTTTATTTCTTGTTGGAAATATTTACTGCAATCTCTTTTCATGAAATGCAATAAAGTATCTTACTATTCAAAAGGACAGTCAGAGAAATATTCACACATAGATTTGTCTTACTAAATAGCGATAATCAGTGACGTGCTGTGAGGTTTATGGCTGGTGAGGCACTGATGTCACACAGACACACACACACACAGAGGCAGAAGTCACACAGGGGCCCTTCAAAGACTAAACTTTTTTTTTACTGGTGGGGAATTAAAACTCCCTTTTCCTCAATGGGAAATCATATTCAGAAAAACAAAATTATTAAAAATATCCTTTCCTTTCTGAAGCCTGGCTCTTTCTCTGCACCTATATTGGGAGGGGGGGAATAGGGGAAATGCAAGTGGCAAGGCCAGCCTGCCCCCTTCTTGTCTCCAACACCCTCTTCCCAACGGGACAAGAAGGTGGAGGGCTGGTCTTGCAAACGGGGATCAGCGCATTCGCCGCCTCCTCCTCCCCCGGGAGGAGCTCTGC